AGATAAGAATGCATTTTTACTGTTGGTATGATGAGAAATATGTGGTTAAAAAAGAAAGAAAAATTATTGATGTGATGAAAAATATTATTTTATTGAAGAATGTGTAGTTAAAAATGAGTAAAAGAATGAGAATGAAAATTTTAATGTGTGTCAAATAGGGGCTAAAGATGTCTTCTTGGAAATTGGCATGATAACATCAACTTAACATTTTTGGTTGCTGCTTTTCAAGCCATTCTTTGTTCATAACAATTAATTAATTATGTTCTTTTTAAAATTGTTTAAGCTTGAGTGACCCAAAAATATCATGGCTCTTTCCATCAACATTATTGGAATCGAGGACAGTTATGATGAAGAATCTTGTGAAGATTGATCGACACCTTGCATAAGCAATATAGCCATCACCCAACCAAAAATGGACCAGCAGAATGTGAGGTTCCAATAATTACTTTTTCCCAAGTCAGGAAAAAGGAATAATTCAGCTCATGATTCAAAATATATCCTTTTTCTAACATTGACATTTTCAAGTCTAGTCCTTCAATATGAAATGGTACAAATTTCTAGCTGTAAATGATGGAAACATGAAATTGAAGGAATTGAGTTGACAATGAACAGAAAAAGAAAAACGACATGCTGTGCTATCAGATAATGCCACGCTGCAAGACCTAATTGGTCCATTCTTCTTTCCAAAAACTGGCTGGGAGACCATGTAAAGGGACAGGGAATGGCCCATATTGGATTCCATTTTCAGATCTCATTACTTCGTACCTGAAAACCACAATTATTAAACACAGCAAAACTCCTATCAGATATTATATACACCAGCACAGCACTGGCCAGTTATCAATGGGAGTATGAATGAATGTACGCATGTTTGATGTAACATTACGAATGCGTTTGTTCACTTATTTCAAGAGGTCCAATTCGATGGTTGGAATATTTATTGCATAGTCATAATGATTAAGACTATCTTAGTACACAACACGTGAAACGATATTGATATTAGGGATTGATGGAAAAAGATTTATGTAATTATTGAATCTCAAAATGGCTTGATATTTATTAGTAAAAAATGGGTTTATATGTACTCCACAAAAAGATTACCTGAATTGAGAAGCTAGGTGGTGCACCATAATGAGCATCTCTAGTTTGGCAAATTCGTTACCAGGGCAGGCATGTACTCCACTGCCAAAAGGCATATATGTATTGGGTTTAGGAGCAGCCTACATTGAACAATAAATGAAAATTGCCTTAATCTGCAAATTAGAGATCTAATATGTCTGAAATAATAAATTGAAATGATACCTCAAATCTTGAAGAATCGAATTTTTGGGGATCAGCAAAGAATTCTGGATTGTGATGAATATTCCTGAACAAAGGCATAACCTTCCAACCTTTTGGAATAAGATAACCTGAAAACTATATTTCATATTTAATTTTTCAATTCGAAGATCTTGATTAATATTGCATAGTATTGATGTAAACATGCATGCGCACTAGTATTTTTGCATTTAAATGTGCACTTTGAGATAATTCTTTACCTTTATATTCTACATCAGCGACTGCCTCTCTAAATGTGAAAGATATAATGCTGGACATTCTCAAGCTCTCTAAAATCACCTAAAATAATCACATTAATTGTTAACTTCAAGAGAATATGCAACGTGAAAAAGCATATTTAACACCAATCTCTTTCTCTTAGGAAAATACAGAAGGAAACTGTGGCTTTACTTGCATGTACCTATATAGTCAAGCAGTCAATTATACCTTGTAAGTAATTGGCATATTTCTTGTCTGATTCCATGTCAAATGATTCTTTCCATTGCCATTTGATTGGTATATTGCCTTCTGTTCAGCCTGCATACATTATTCCAAACATTATTGAAAATTAAACATAGTTAAGATCAAAGATAGTGAGTCCACTTCTAGATCTTACCTTAACATCCTCGAGAAGTTTGGGGTTGTCGTAGAGGTACTTGAGAATCCATGTCATCCCACTTGCTGTGGTATCCTGGGCAGCAAAAAGTACTCCTATGATGTTATCAGCAATTTGATCCTCATTTAGAATCACACCGTTTTCATCTTTCGAATTCAGGAAACAGCTTAACAGGTCCTGATCATAGGCTAATTTCTTTTCCTTTCTTTCTCTAGTGATTCTACTTAGAATTTCACTTAGCCTCCTCCTTGCCTTCAATATTGAAGCACAACTAGTCAAAAAAGTCGAGATTTTTTTAAATGATCAAAACAAATTAAAATTATAAATAGCAAAACTTTACCTTTATTGCCCTCTGGTATGGAGTACCAGGTAAATTTGTTGGGAAAGAATTATAACCTCTATCTACTATAATATAATTCTTGTTCAGTTCTTCTTTGTAATGGGGCTCCAAATGGCGAAAAATGGCTAGTATACCTACTTCAAAAGAGAGCTGAAGGAATATAACGATTGAGATAGATTAGATATTTGTACTAGTTGACGCAGATAAGGAAAAAGGAAAAAAGAAAAATTCAATCTAAGATCATTTTAACACTCTTCATTGTAAGAACCGAACCTTTTTCATCTCATGGAAAGTGTTAACAACGCGACCATCGGCCCATGAATTCAATGCAGAAACTGCTGAGGCTTCAATATCTGGCACCAGGTTTCGAATAGCTTCAGGATACAAGGAGCGTTGAACGAGTTTTCTGAGGCGCACATGGTAATCATCCTGGTGAAAAAACAGCGCATTTGGGCCGATAAGATTTTCCTTGCTCTTGGGATAAGTAGGCTTGAACAAGTGTGCTTGAGTGACAAGCACGAACCGAGCTGCCTCCGGGCTTGCCAACATGACACAAGGGCAACCAAGTACATGAGTCTTGAAGATTTCTCCATACCTGAAATGGAAAAAAAAAAAATTGAAAAAAAATTCTCCTGGGATGGACACAATAAAACAGATTATGGTAGGAGCTTAAAAACCTTGTTTGTCTATCAGAGAAAAACACATCTGGATCCTCACTATAAAGTTGAAGTGTTTCTCCAATATAAGGCCACCCCATTGAACCAGGAGGGAGTTTAGATTTTCTCTCAGGATTTCTCCTTTTCTTTCTAACTAAAACAGCACAGGAAAATACAGTAACAAGAAATAGAGAAATGGAAACAATGAATCCAGTGATCTCCATTTTTTTCTTTATCTGGTATAGTTTGCTGAAATAAAATATTAATGCATTCTGAGGTGATTTGAGTGAATGAGAAATGAAGGGGTCGGGAGTTTATATAGGAATGAGGGTGGATGAGGCAAAGACTGAATCAAAAAAGAAATGAGTAATATTAGCATAAACTGTATAGTAGAAAAATATCAAAGAAATTATATTATTAATGGAATAATAATAAATTTAATATATACCATTTAATTCCATTAGACAGGATAAGGATTAGTTTAATCCCGTCTCTATATGACGTAATTAAAACCTGAATTGAGTAATGTTAGTTAACGCCAGAAAAAAGTTATAAAAGAATAATGATGTGGAACAACACCTGATATTAAATGATAAGTACAATTAAATGTGATTTTATGAGACTCATTTAATTATATCTACCATATAATGCCACGTTATATAGGTTACTTTCAATAAAATGAGTTACATATTTATACATTTAATTTTGCCTTATCATTTCATATTACATCATTTGCCACGTAGACTAGCGATAATCACCACTGATGATGATTATTATTATTATTATTATTATTATTATTATTATTATTATTCATTAATTCAGGGTGCTTATCCTCCTTTAATTAAGTTTTAAAAAATAGTTGAGAACACATATATTTATTTAGAAGTAAATAAGTTTTTATATATGAAAATTAAGTAAAAATACTCATTTGTAAGTATAAAACCCTTATATGTAAATAATTAGTTATAGGTCAAAATTTGCTCATAAGAATAAATTTACCAGTAAGTTAAGAAAACACATAATAATAATCTTTAATGCTTTTCCTTAAGCCTATCTATTATAATTTTATATAGCGTATCAAACGCAGTCTTGGTAAATTATTATGTCCTAAGGACATGGTACTCCAACTGGACGTGTAACAAAAAGTTGGCACGGTAACAATCGCACTGTCCCCATCGTTTGATATTGAATGCCCAAATCTTCAAAAAGACTCGATAAAAGAAGTCACTCATAATTCATGAAAAATGAAAACGCAGGATACAACATTGTAGGATTAAATGAAGATTTACTTTTATTTAATAAATTCAAAAGCCCATTACATGGACATTACACAACAAATCTCAAGTATAATCATACATTTATATGACTTCCTTGTTTTGTAACGTAAGGGGACATGCACTTTGTCTAAACATATGTAGGAGGCGTATTTAATTGAAACTTTTGAAAACTTTGATGAATTTTTTTAAGTGACGACTTTTGCGAATTTTTTTTTTGTAGATTTGTATAGAATTAGTGAAAGTGTTTCGTAGACTACTATAGACTTTCATTTTAAAATTTTAATAGAATTCAAAATATTTTTGAAAATTTTCATTTGAAATAGAATTCACGTGATTCTGTGAAATTCTCACATACAAGATGGTGGTTCCCACAATTCCCCTTCCCCTCCCCGTATAATAAAAAATATATTTCAAAAAGAATAAAAATTTAGACCTTAATAAATAAAAAAATAACAAAAATTATATATATAATAAATAAATAAATTTAATATTCAATATTATTAATATAATATACCTTTAAAGAATAAATAAAAAATCAATATATTTAAATTTAGTTATAAATTAGTCTATATAAAATTTTATAATTTAATTAAAAATGGATATTTTCACCCAAAAAAATGAATAAAAAAAGAAAAAAAAGTTATAAGAATCTAATTTAATTTTTTCCATAGAAAATAGCGATAAACAATAAAACATGGAAAAAAGAAAAATAGAAACAAATATAATTAATAGAAATCATAACCCTAATGTTCTTAAAAGGAAAAGGGAAAGAGAAATATCGATATATAACATGATTTTACGTTTAGACAAGGGGATCTTGTTTTCTAACAAAGGCAGGTAGAAATTCGAACGGTTTCTTATTTATACTCACTTCGGATTAAAATCTAATTAAAAAGTCTTTAAAAAGATTAACTCAATCCCATTCAAATTGAAATTAAATTCTTTTAAAGTCTATGTATTGAAATTATTCTCATATAGATGATATTTAAACTTTCTAGAATTTAAAAAATTTGACCAACTTCAGTCTCCCCCACTGTCAACGCTATATGAACCAAATTTCAATAAAAATGTCTAAAAGACTGTTGACTTTTTATTGTGGGTGATAACATAACTGTATAATGCGTTGATTCTATGACGACTGATCGAAAAATCAAAATTTTTGGCGATCATAACTATGGTAGGAAAAACAATTCGACAACAATCCTTATGGTTGGTCTTGTGTAACGTCACATACTTGTGAGAGATGGCTTTATTATGTACCGTAACTAAATGTTTATGAACAAAAAAAATAAAAACAACATTGCTTTATTTACGAAGTAATTGAGCTTTCAAATGCAATATATATCTAAGAAAAAATGCAATAGGATTAGTAATTATTGTAATGAATTTTATAAATTAAGAAATTTATAAAAGTATTTTTCTGAAATCATTGAAATAATCCTTCAAGAATTGTCTCCCAAATTCAATATTTTCTGAACCTTGAGAGGTTGCTCAATTGGTTAAGTCTTGGATTTGCTCCCCAATGGTCACTAGTTCGAGTCCCCTCACGACCATTGAGATGAGTATTTGGCCATAAATTTCAGGATCCCGTGGGATTAGTCGAGGTGCGCGCAAGTTAGCCCAAACATCCACTGTTATAAAAAAAAATTGTATATTTTCTGCCCCATCTTTAAAAGCGATCAATTTATTTTTGATTGTACTAGAAAATAAAAGTTGGTCATCAGACTTTTTATTGAATTGGAATTTAAATTTGCTTCATTTGTCAATCTTTTATCACAGAAAATCAAAGAATGGCACAGACTAGTTGATTCACAGCTAAGAAAGGACCAGTATTTCCTTTATGCATTGACTTTGACATTCAATTTTGACTTGGAATCTAGCTGATTAATTAAAATAATAAAAAATAAAAATAAAACAGAAATGTGGATAGACCAGCTTTCTTTTCTCAATACATTACATATGACATGTGTCAGCACTTCAACAAAAATCCTAGAAAGTAGAAAATGTAAAATGGAAGACAAAATTAGTTGTAATACTAGTCTTTGTTTCCAACTAGAATTTTCAAATTGAAATCGATGGTTTTCTAGATATATCTCAACAAATGAATCATATTCATAGTCAATGTGAAAATGATAGAGTAATAACACTGAAATAAAATTCGGAGAAATAGTCAGAAGTTATGATAATATATACACAAATCGTATAATCGTCAAGGTCTTACACTGTGGGACAATAATGATCTAACTATTTACTTACTCCATAGGTGGTCAAGAAGCATATGCCACAGTGTTTTATCTCTTTTAAGGCTTGTGTTCATATTCTTTAAAAATAAATTAAATAAATCATACAAATCTTGATTCACGTATTCCTCGATGCCTAATACAAGTTCTGATAACATTTTTTCCTCACTAGAATCTCAATCAATAGAGTTTTCTCTAGCTAGTAATGGATGTTAAATCCATTTCCATTACGTGTAGTAATCTTGATGAGTGTTTCACACTCATAATATTTATGTCACTTAATGCATTATTTTGTTACCCTTAAAAAAGTTTTAGAGTGTTTTTTTTTTTATGAGTGTTTTGATGTTGTGATATAGGTTGGTAAGATTGAAAAAAATAAG